GCCACCTTAGGTGTATGTGGCTGGCGCCTTAGCCACTTGAGCCACAGGCGCCGAGCCCGGCGCCCTACTCTTGAGCCACAGGCGCTGCCCCAAACTTACACTTTTTAATACCAACTAAAGACTTAAGTAGAGGACGGTGCCTGTGGCTCAGTGAATAGGGCACCAGCCCCATATACTGAGGGTGGTGGGTTTGAACCTGGCCCTGGCCAAACTGCAACAAAAAAATAACTGGGTATTGTGGTAGGTGCCTGTAGACCCAGCTACTCAGGAGGCTGAGGCAAGAGAATTAAGCCCAAGGGCTAGAGATTGTTGTGAGCTACAACAGCATGGCACTCTACTGAGGGCAATAAAGTGAGACTCCTGTCTCTAAAAAAAAAAAGAGTAAGTAGAAATATAAGTCATGTCTGGTTGGAATTGGGGATAAGGGAATAAATAATACATCTGTGCTATCCAATATGGTAGCCACTGGCCACACTTGAACTGTGGTTAATAAGACCAAAGAAGTGTTTTTTTATTGAACTTTAATTAAGTTTAAATAGTCATGAGTGACTAGTGGCTTCTGTATTAGAAAACACAAATCTCAATGATGTGATATTTTCCCATGGGATTAGAATCTTGGATTTTATTAGTAGGGATCTAGTATTTGTGTTTTGTTTGTTTGTTTGTTTTTTTGCAGTTTTTTTTTTTTTTTTTTTAGCCGGGGCTGGGTTTGAACCCGCCACCTCTGGCATATGGGGCCAGCGCCCTACTCCTTTGAGCCACAGGCTGCCCCCTAGTATTTGTGTTTTGACCATATTATGATAATTATAAACCTAAATACTTCTCAGTAATAATTTGAACCTTTCATGTTTTCTTCTTCAATTAGGAGTTTTTTGGGGGTTTTTTGGCAGTTTTTGGCCAACGTTAGGTTTGAACCTGCCACCTCCAGTATATTGGACTGGTGCCCTACTCCTTGAGCTACAGGCACCGCCCCAATTAGGAGTTCTTTTACCACCTTATTGTCCTTGAAAACGCTAGTCAGGCCTTTCCGTAGGAGGATTAAAGCTTTTATAGCTAGGTAGTCAAATCAGAATATTGTTTAATTTTAGTTATATTCTATATGAGATGAAGGAAACGTCTGGAGGGACCCAGATACATTCTGGGGACAGGGATTTTAGGAGAAAGAACTAAGATTATTCTCTCAAATATATATATATTAGGGATATGTGTGTGTGTGTGTGTGTATATTATTATTTTTATTTTTATTTTTTTGCAGTTTTTGGCCGGGGCCGGGTTTGAACCTGCCACCTCCGGTATATGGGGCCGGCGCCCTACTCCTTTGAGCCACAGGTGCCACCCAGATTATTCTCTCAATACAATGTATCTTCTTTTTTTGTTTTGTTTTATTTTTATTTTCTTATTTTTTTGTCCGGGGCTGGGTTTGGACCTGCCACCTCCGGCATATGGGGCCAGCGTCCTACTCCTTTGAGCCATAGGCACTGCCCATTTTGTTTTTGTTTTAGACAGAGCTTCACTCACCTTGGTAGGGTGCTTCATAGCTCACAGCAACCCCATACTACTCTTGGGCTCAAATGATTCTCTTGCCTCACCCTCCCAAGTAGCTGGGACTATAGGCACCTGCCATGACAGGCTAGATGAGGTCTCACTCTGGCTCAGGCTGGTCTCAATCCTGTGAGCACATGCAGTTCACCCACCTGGGCCTTCCAAATGCTGGGAGTACAGGAGTGAGCCACTGCACCCAGCAATACAATGTACCTTCCAATGTAGATATGGAATGTTTGTTTAGGCAGGCTGATAGGAAGGAACACCTTGCCTAGCTGAGGCTGGCTCAGATAGTCCCACCTTGCTACTCTGAATATTCACTGTCCTTTCAGTGTTTTCAAGGCCTAATCGCAAAATAAACCATGAGGAATGGGCGAGCTGGATTGCCACAGTATTTTAGATTTTTTGCTTTCATGGGCTCCTTCTAACTCCTCCCTTCTGAATTTTTATTGCTGTGGTCAGCCTTAATATAGAAACTTTTCTCTTATTTCTTTTCTGTTTCCTAGACAACCTCATCAGCCTTGAAAGGTGCCATCCAGTTGGGTATTACTCACACTGTGGGGAGCCTGAGTACTAAACCTGAGCGGGATGTCCTCATGCAAGATTTCTACGTAGTAGAGAGTATCTTCTTTCCCAGGTACAGAGGTTAATGTTCGGGGGAATGAGCTGGGCAACCTGTCTTCTGCATAACAACCCAGGACGATTTTAATGCATTGGGTTGTATGTAGGAAGTGTGATCCCCTATGCCTGCGTCTTGTTCTCCATGTTGTACATTTGTCCCACTAAGTAATTAACTCATCTAAGCCCTCTGATTGTCTCAGGAGGGATGGTATCCCCTTAACTTCCAGTGACTTTGAGTGTCTTCACAGGGCAGACTCCCTTGAGGACAGGGACTGGAAAATTATGACTTTTTATATTTAACCCCACAGTGAAGGGAGCAACTTAACTCCTGCTCATCACTACAATGACTTTCGTTTCAAGACCTATGCACCTGTTGCCTTCCGCTACTTTCGGGAGCTATTTGGCATTCGGCCTGATGATTACTTGGTAAGCTTCTGGATCTCAGGACCCTGAGACTCCAGTATCTAAGGGATACTTCTTTTTTTTCTTTTTTTTTTTTTTCTTCTTTTATAGAAAGAGGCACAGTGGCTCATGCCTGTAATCCCAGCACTCTGGGAGGTCAAGGTGGGTAGATGATTTGAGCTCAGGAGTTCAAAACCAACCTGAGCAAGAGTGAGACCCCATCTCTAAAAATAACTAGGCATTGTGGTGAGCTCCTATAGTCTCAGCTACCCAGGAAGCTGGGGCAAGAGACTCAATTGAGGGCTCGATGACCATAGCTCAGTGAACAGGGCACCAGCCACATACACTGAGGCTGGTGGGTTTGAGACTGACCCGAGCCTTGTTCATCTTTTCAAAGAACCAACTTTTTGTTTCATTAATCTTCTGTATACTTATTTGTTATCTATTTCATTTAGTTCTGCACTGACCTTGGTTATTTCTTTCCTGCTGGATTTGGAATTGGTTTGCTCTTCCTTTTCCTGTTCCTTGAGGTTAGATTGCTGATTTGTCATGTTATCTTTGGGATGTAGGCATTTTATGGCAATGAATTTTACTCTTATAACTGCTTTTACTGAGTCCCACATAATTTTTTTTTTTTTCTATTTTTGGCCAGTGCTGGGTTTGAACCTACCACCTCTGGCATATGAGACCAGCGCCCTACTCCTTTGAGCCACGGGCACTGCCTGAGTCCCACATATTTTGATAACTGTGTCCCCTTTGTCATTCAATTCAAAGAATCCTTTATTTATTTATTTATTCATTATTTATTTATTTTTGGAGACAAGAGTCTCATTTTGTCAACCTCAGTAGAGTGCTGTGGTATCACAGCTCACAGCAACCTCAAACCTCTTGGGCTGAAGTGATCCTCTTGCCTCAGCCTCCCAAGTAGCTGGGACTACAGGCTCCTACCACAATGCCTAGCTACTTTTTAGAGGCAGGGTCTTGCTCTTATTCAGGTTGGTCTCGAATTACTGAGCTCAGGGGATCCACCAGCCTCAGCCTCCGAGAGTACCAGGATTTTTTTTTTTTCTTTTTCTGAGAGACAAGAGTCTCAAGCTGTCGCCCTGGGTAGAGTGTCATGGTGTCACAGCCCACAGCAACCTCAAACCCTTGAGCTTAAGTGATTCTCTTGACTCAGCCTTCCAAGTAGCTAGTACTACAGGTCCCCACCACAATACCCAGCTATATTTTTTTCTTTTAGTTTGCAGTTGTCATTGTTGTTTTAGCTGGCCTGGGCCAGATT